ACTTTTCAACGTCATGTAAGTAGGGGCCTGCACGGCCTACTTCTGCCGGCCCGCACGGCCCGCAAATAAAATTTATTATGTTTTTTTAACTATGTTTATGATATATTAGGCCCGCAATTTTGAGGGTTTTTAAAATTTTCTAATTTCGGTCCGGCCCGTGCAGGTCTCCACATGTACGTAAGAGCAAAACTTTGGTGTAACAATTTACCCCAAAAGGCCCAAATCAGATCGGATGATTGCTTTCCCATTATATCCCACATACCGATACGTACCGCATTAATTATACGTATAACGATAATGCACAAATGTATGCGTAGTAATTTATTACCGCTACAGTATTGCTATCGCTATAAAATCTAACCAAAAATGCTTTTTCTATTTGAGTGGCACCAGGAGAAAAACCAGACTTCGGGCTTTCAAGTTTATTATTTATTATTTACAAGACTAGCCCTGATCAAAGACATATACGATACGTGGCTGATTCTGGTAAATAGTAAATAATAAACACGAATGCCCGAATCCTGGCTTTCCCCTGCGTCATCTATTTACAAATTAATTTCATTTTAATATCCACAAAGGTTCAAAAATATATTTTTTTTAAGCTTTATATATAGTTATAGAGAACTCTCAATTTAGTAAAGATGGAGAATTTTAAATTACAATGTGATAATATTAAAATCCAGTTCGATATATTTTCAATATAAGCTGTAACAGATGATTTGTTTTCGGATCACTTTGCCGATACCGATACGTACTGATATGTTAATGTACGTATACGTATAAGATTTACATTTTGTATAAATAAAGTACTTAACCTTTTTTTTAAAATACTAAAATTATATTATTAATATAGAAAGTTGTATACAAAATTGGAATAAATAAATGACATTGTTACATAAAATATATTGACAAACTGCATAAATGTCACAAAATTTCGTTTAATATATATATTTAACGTTGGACGTTAACTAATCAAAAAAAAAAATAAATTCAATTTCTTTATACATATACTTAAATCTTGTATATATACATCTTTCAATATGAATGATCCTTTCAATAAAATCAGAAATTACTGCTTTACAACCTCCTTTACTTATTTAATTTCGATTGCCTATGTGACCATTTTCATATTCTTTGTTATACATTCTTTTAGAGACATTGAAACTGCCTTTTGGACTGCAAGAATTGATCATTTTATCTTGCAAGAGATAAATACAGCTATTCATATAGCTATTTACTTTATATATATTGTGTCTTTAGGAGGTGTACTTTTATTACTTTTACCTTTCCTAAGTAAATCAGTACAAAAAGTTTATGAGGTTTGGTCTCCTATAGTTAGTTTTCTAATCAGTATTACGGCTATTATTCTTTCTTCTTATGGATATAAGA